GAGATTGGCCAGTGGTTCTTGTGTGGGGCTTACATCAACCTCTTCATCCAGAACGCCTTCGTCGCAAGAATAATAGAGGTCTTGAGCATCGTCAAAATAATGCTCCGATTTTCCCAAGTAAAAACGGTCGAGATCTTCTTCAAACCGCTCGTTGAGTTCGTCGATCCGCGCCTTCAACGATTCTTCTTCCGGCAGTTCGAGAAACTTTTTCATGTCATTGAGCCTATTCCACAGATCAAATTTACACTCGAGTTTAGGGTGAAAAGGTGTTACGAGACGATGGGACGGTCCTTTTGGGTCAGAATCCAGAGACCGACGCGTTGTTGGTCGATTGGGTCCAGTGTAATTGGTTCTGAACTTGACCCGAGGATGGGAGATTCAGGGATACCCGTATTCCAGTCCTCTTCGGATGGAATCATTTCAACTTCCTCCGTTAGTGGGACTGCTGGGGTCATCTCTTCGTCGACGTCCATCATCTTGGTGGTTCGAAACAAGAAGGGTTTGATGTACACGTGCGCGCCATCACTCCTTGAACTTGAACCACTTGCATGGTTGAAGTTGCACCCAAGTATTAATGCCGACCCCCGTCCGTCCGCACTCCATGCATGCCTTTCAAGGTTGAAAGCCACACTCACGCCTACTCGCCTCAACTCCTCTTGCGTCATGACTACCGTTTGTGTAACCCTTACGAATCACGAGTCGCGACCGTGCTTCTCGGCACAGTCCCCAAGCCCCAAGGATGCGACGGCTAGGATCAGGGCTACGTTGCAACTCTGCAACTCAGCCCTAATCTGGCCAGCGTAGCTCGTTCCGGAACGAAATTACCTTGTGCTCTCGGTTCCTGGAAAATTCTGAACTGTGGTTTAGCTTTACATCCGACGGGTCGCCGTTCCACTCCTTATGGCAATCGTCCGTATCATCGTGGGTAACCAATATCCATGGCATTTAAACAGCCCACAAATCGGCCACTCTGCTGCACCATGAGAATCGCTGTCCTCATCCTTCTGCTCGTCTGCGCCGTACACTCGAGTCCCCTTCCTGGCTGTAGCAAACGACAGGAATGGAGAGACCTCTCGCCTGCTCAGCAATTGGATTTCATCGGAGCTGTCCGATGTCTGCAGTCCTCCCCAGCCAAAGGATTAATCCAGGCCGCTCGAACACGCTTTGACGACTTTCAGGCACTCCATATCAATCTGACCGATGAAATACATCTTGTTGTCCGTGCCAAGTGCTTCGTCTTTCTGCTTGGGGGCTAATGTAACAGCAGGGACAATTTCTGCCCTGGCACCGGCGCTTTTTAAACGTGTTCGAAGCGACTTTGAGGACCGAATGTGCTTTCGCGGGTTCACTTCCGTTGGTTGTTGTCTGGCCATTCGATTTGAATTCTAAACGACTTCCCAGCTACTGGGACTGGAGCCGTGACGTGGACGCCTATAATTCGTAAGCCTTTTCACTCTCCATCTTGATGTCTTTCTCAATGTATGCCACAAGGATCGCCAAATCACCTGTCTTTGATCCTGTTTTTGGCTTCGGAGGTTGGTCTATTCGATTGAACGGTTCAATCAGCTGATTCAAACGCCAGGAAACGGTTTGCATATACCGGGATATGCTGGCCCTTTCAATAATCTGACCAACCTGCCGGGCTGGGTGTCTGGAACCGGAGGCGGCTGCATCACGACTGGTCCCTTTGCTTCGTACAATCTATCCCTGGGTCCCGGAACTAACCTCACAAACCATTGTCTAACCCGGGATTTTCATGACGACTTTGCGTGGGTGTTATCTTCTGCCCAGGTTGCGAATACAACCAAGCAGCCGACGTTTGAGAGTTTCCGGATCGAGCTCGAGGGCCAGCCTGTCACACCTACGATGAAGCTTCACGATGGGGGGCACTTTACGGTCGGTGCGGAGATGCTCAACACGTATTCGAGTCCCGGGGGTAAGTCTTCTCCCTCCCAGCAGTAAAGTTGACCTCAAATATGGTAGACCCTGTATTTTACCTCCACCACGGAAACTTGGATCGTATTTGGTGGGAATGGCAGCAGATGGATTTACCGAGCCGTTTGTTGGATGTTTCCGGGCGGTCGAGCGTTGGCCCTCCTTTCGTGGACATTACTCTGGATTTTGGGCTCAAGATGTTGAATCTTGCACCGTTGGTTCAAATTCGCGATGTTATGGATCCGAGGGCAGAACCGCTGTGTTATGACTACGTTTAGTTCATCATTTGTTCGGGACAGGTTCCCAATGGCAATGCTAACATCTGTGATCAGTGCTCTCTCTCATATACTCAAGGCGTCCCGAAACGCTTTAAATAGGTCTCTTAGACACGGCGTCCCGGCCAAGTCCGCTGCTTGACTCAGTCCTTTCTGACTCATAATAATAACTAGACTTGGAAATCAGTTCTCAACGTCATCGACCTGCTCCTAACACTGACCTCGGGAACATGCCTACGCTCGCCCTGCCCCACCTTGCAAACATCAGCTCTCAGACAGCGGTGGTACAGCTCGAGTACAACACTGCACCACTTCCCAAGCCCGAAGACGACAGCTCTCCCTGGACGCGCTTCGTCCTCCTCTCGGACACCCACTCGAAGCAGTGCGCTGTTCCAGATGGCGACGTCCTCATCCACACCGGGGACCTCACCAATCGTGGGACCTTGGACGAGCTTACGAGGACTATGGAGTGGTTCTATGCTTTGCCCCATCCTCTGAAGATGTGTGTCCGAGTCATGAATCGCGCACGAATTGGCTGACAATAGACAGAGTAATTGCGGGGAATCACGACCTTTCGGTTCATCGCGAATGGTATGAACCTAATTCGAAGCAACTGCACGGCGGAACACCCGTGGTTAGTGGTTGAGTTATGATGAGTATTTCTCTAAAAATTGCAAAGCCTGCTGCCGCTGTTCGAGAATTGCTCAAGGGACCGCGCGCAGTGGAGGCCAACATTGTCTATTTGGAAGACGTGCAATACAAATTCACCACAAGGGACGGGGGAAAAGAGTGGAGCGTCTATGGCTCTCCTTGGTCGCCTGAATTTTATTTTTGGGCCTTTGGGTACAAGAGGGAGGACGGCAAAGCTCTCGTTTCCAAATTTCCCAAAACCGACATCTTGTATACTATTATGTTTTCAGCTCAAAGTCAACCTCTTCTGACCGTCTTTCACAGGCTAACGCACGGCCCTCCACGCAATGTTCTCGACATCACAGTCAACAACGAACGTGCCGGATGCGACGACCTGGCCGCCCGGGTACAAGAACTCAAACCCCGCTTACACGTTTTTGGACACATTCACGAAGCCCATGGTGCATATCTGCACCGGTGGAAACCAGACGCTGAACTTGGTGTGCAAAACGCAATCCAACTCGGAGAACTCGTCGATGAATACGGGCCTGTCACGAACCCGCCAGACGAGATTGCAGAAGACCAGAACGAGGAGAGCACTGTCTTTGTAAATGCTGCCAACTGGCCTGCAGGTCCGATTATGAGGCAGCAGGCGGCACAAGGTGGGGGCCCATCAAGAATGGGCGAACGTCGTTTTCAACCAGTTGTTGTGGATCTTCGGGAATAGCAGAAAATTACAACGACAAGTTAGTATCTACGAGAATAAGCACTTAGCGATCCTGATAAAGACACGCTCTCAAGTAGAAGAGCGTTCCCTGAGCTTCTCGACCTCCGCGCTGCCCTTGGAGCATACCCATATCATCTCCCGCCCATCGCCACACGGTCAGCGCCTTCCACGCATTTCCATTCGGCCTCTTTGCTTTATCCACTCGACCGTCGATATCCAGCAGTCCCGTTTCCAGTTGAGTGGGAGATGTTATCGTCATGATGCGTATCGGAGGCGATGGTTCGGGTGGACCAGGCATGAGTAGGTCAGCAGGCAAATTACGTTGTGCGCCTGGTTGTGCCAGGACGGTGAGGCTATGAGAGCGGGAATCAATGCGTTGGATCTATTAAAAAATCAGCACACGAAAATTAACAGTAGGAGTGCACCCACAATGACATCTTTCTCGACCAAAACATTCACATTCGCAAAGTTGCGTTTGTACACCAACACATCGCCTTCACGGAGAACTGAATTTTTGGCCAAATCTCCGAGTTTGAGTTCCGAGGCCTCACTAAGAAATATGATTTGCGTGCGAAAAAAACATGGGATGAGAGCATACCCCGCCAAATGCTGCGAGGCTGCTGCCTGTTCTTCGAGTGGAGGATTGTCTCGCTCCCATACTTCGTCTTTCCAAGGGGCCGCAAGACTGCCGTCCTGGATGCCTTTCGTGTACTTTTCGACCTTTTCAGCGTGTGTATCGGACAGCCAATCGGAAAACAGATGGTCTTGGAAGGTGTGGGCTGCAGCAAGAAAGTGGGCATCGGTGAAGAGGGATGGATCCAAGGTGGACGCATCATGAGAATCGACCTGCATCGAGTCTCCTGCCGCCGGGTGGTCCAAGCCGAGCGTCGGCTTGAAAGAACGAAAAGCAGTGGGTGGAAGTAATGCTGCCAGTCGCGATTGCGAGTCTGGCGAGAGAAGATTCCAAGAATTTCCGTTGATTAGGTCCTGAGTACATTGAGATATTGCCTTGCCACCCGTCTTTAACGCACAGATATGTCCATTTTGGTCAGACGACTCTTGGGATTCTGCAACATGAAGCGGAGTTGTTCTGCCGGGTCTGCATCCGCTTTGGCTTTGCGTTTCGTTGGGACAGATTCAGGAATTGGCTCCCGTTGAATAGGTTTCGCTTTACGCGTCGAGCGACGTGGCTCTACAGAGTCGGCCATGAAAGTCAAGAGCAAGCGTGTTTGTTCAACTTTGTTTGTCGGCTTTGTTCGTTTGTGGGACCGCAGATTTGATACTTTGCAATCAATCCTTCCTTCCTTCCAGCATTCTGTGAAGCCAGTCCTCACACACACATGAACAACTATCCGTCGCTCATTTGCTGCCTGAAAAGTTCTCAACCCGAGTATGAGGAACCTCTGAAGTAGAGTTGACGCCGTTTGCTTCAAGGAGTTATGGCGTAGTGGTTATCGCGTCTGTCTTACAGCAGATTGTTGCAGTTTCACAGAAGGTCGTCAGTTCGACCCTGACTAATTTCATCATTTTGCATTCTTTTTCAATGCGACTACTTTCCTGTTCATGCCTGCACCTCGCCAGGATCGAGGAAAACGTCTTTTGATTGACGAGTTTGCGTATTTGACGCGAGGTTGATATATTGATGGCATCAGCACCGCTTTTTTGTTGTTCCGCGCTAACGTGTTCTTTCAAGCGAACGCGATGGCTGCTGGGGTCTCCCTTGCCCTATTCCTCGTAACCGCAGCCTGCGTCGTCGTACCATGGTTCTACCTAAGCGTGCAGAAAGCTCCCGGCAGACCATTAACATCTACACGCTCCTTGCTCAACATCTTCCTCCTCCTACACTCTCTCTTCTGGCTATACTCCATTATGGTCTTGCCACCACACAACGTCTACACGCGTCTCAAACTACCCCTCAGCACACCTACCGACGCGATTCGCAGCATCTTGCTTTCACAGTCGGATACCGGAGACCTGCCCAGGCCACTCGAGACACTTCTCAAACATCTCGGGTCTTTTGAGGTGAAGACTTACTACGTTCGGTGCGTCTTTGAGCTCCTCGGAGAACGAGAAACTCATGGTTTCACCAGCTTCGGCCACTCGGTTGTGGCAAACTGCGACTACTGCAGGTCATTCGATGAATTCGGGATGTTTGCACTACCAGGAGCCCTACTTTCGTACATTTTCCAAGCCATAGTCATCGGGGTACGCCCGCTACTTCATTATTCCACACTCAACCTGACGGCCTGCAGCTTGTCACTATAAGCTCGTCTGACCGAGAGCGCTGGCGGACGATGGGCGTGGCCGCCGTTGCAGGAGCCTTCTGTGCTGAAGCCTACTACATCGTTACTGCACCCATAGAAATTCCCAAAGACGACAGGGATGTTTTCATGGTAAGCACGCGCTTCCTCCCGTTCCATCCATCCTCTGATTATATTTCGCAGTGGCACGACAACTTGCTCTTCTTCCGCCGTCTCCTCTTCCTCCTCCTCCCCATCATCGTGCATAACGCCCCCGCATCCAGACACACCGCCGCCATCGCCAACCCAACCCTCGCAGCCATCCGCACCGCAGAACAGACGACTGCGCGCCTCCAGCTCCTACGTCTCACACGGGGCGCAGTGATGCGTACTCCCGACCTCCGTGCTCGCGCTGCAGCCTGGTGGACCGCCGACGCACGTGAAGGCGCTTGGATCAGGGAGGACGAAGGCGTTCGCGACCTGGCGCGGAAACTACAGAGCGGATTCGACGGGGGAGCAGGGTCTGGATCAGAGGAAGAGGCCGTGGGGCCTTTGCGTCAACAAGCCCGTAATACAGTCACCGCGCTCAAAATGGGCTTTGCGCCGAGCGAGTTCTGGAGGGTGCCACCATAGATGTCTGTATCTTATACTTTGTACTATCGCGGAGAGAATTAAAATTCCAAGACAAAAACAAGAGGATAAGTAAAGCAAGTAAAGTATGCGGCTACGCGCAGAGTTTTAAGGAAACTAGAAATCGTAGCCCTCCACTTTGAACGTCTTGCCATACTGCAGGAAGCTGTCCATGATTTTGAGGATTGGGTCGGGCAGGCCCATACTGAGCAGTGTATACGAAATCTTGGTGTGTCCATGCACAGACCCTAGCTTGAAGAAACATTGGGCTATTTGCGTCGGGAACTGCAGCGGTTGTCAGTGGTATGTATCCCGGTCAGATAAAATGCACTTGCCGTCATTTCAGTATACTCGGCATACTGGTAGGCCGCAACACGGATGGCAGTCTGTATCGACCGCTGGATGTCACCCTCGTCCGAATACATCTCCATCAGCTTCGTCCAGGGCTTGACAGAGTACCGCGGCGTGTCAAGACACCGTTGGTACGCCTCCTTTGCCTCCTCCTTGTGATGAAGCCGCGTCCCCAGATCACCTAATATCTCCCACTCAAGCCCCGTCTTGCGGTATGCCACGTGCTGCGTCTTGAAATGCGCCACCTCGGCACGGAAAATCGTCCACACTCGCAGGTCCTAGTCGACTATGTTAGCTTCGAGTCGAGAAAGAAATGAGCAACGCACCTCGTACAGCACCATGAACAGATTGTCCAACCATCGCTCGCACAATCGCTTATTGCTGAACGAGAAAGGCTCTTGCGTGGTGGGCGACGCGGGTTCCTTCCCCTTCTTCCCATCCCGATCTATCACGTTGCTATCGTCCTCATCCTCTCCAGCCGTAGCCGCCGCAGCCTGCTCCGGCTTTTCCAACGAGTCCGCCGCAGTAGACGCCGCGTCCGTCTCCTTCTCAATGTCAGACTCGGTAGAAATGCGGATCGTCGGAATGCCAATCTGGCTCTCATTCGCATTACCGTTCCCATTCACCTCTGGCCCAGTGACACTGCTGGGACTCTCAGAGGTAGACAGGACGCCGGGACTGACCATCCCTCTTGTTGACGCATTGTCCTCCTCACCCTCGGCAAGCGTCGTGCCCTCGGTCGACCCAGTGCGTCCGTGCCCATTAATGTCGCCATGAGCCTTCTGCATGCGGTACTCTTCCTCCATAACGAACACGGCACTTCGGGTCTTGAGAAGTTCGTCCCAACCGATCTGAGCCACAAGTCGCGTCAGAAGCGCATATGCGCGGGCCCAGGTACCTCGCAGCCCCGGTGCAGGAAGGCGTTGCAGTGCAGGGTCAGCCTCGTCATCCTCCGTCTTGACGCGTTCTGGTAGGATTTCGCCTATCGAGCGATGGAAGGGAAGGTGCACGCGGGAGGGCGTCAACTGTCGGTGGGCGTCTCGGCCATTGAACGTGAACATCGGACATGAGTTGAGAGTGAGCAGCGCCGACTCGAACATCCCAAGCTCAATGTACACCTCCGTGAGCTTCTCCCAAGTGACAAACTCGCTCGGTGCGGCATTGACAGCCTGGCGCGCCAACTTGAGGGCCCAGTCCGAACGACCCTTTTCCCGCAAAAAGTCGCACTGCGTGTGCAGCAATGTGTAAGAGGCAGGCCCCGGTGCTCCGCGCAGCGCCGTTGACATGATTTGCAGCGCCTTGACTTCCTCGTCTGGAGTATAACATTAGCTTCTGCAGCAAAAACTAGCTCGGTACGCACTCATTCCAAGATATGCGCGTGCAAGGAGCGAATTGACCTCTGGCTCCCGCACGGCGATCTTCTCAAAGAGGTTCGCAACCTGCTGGTAGCGACCAGAGGCTCCAAAGTACTTGAGCAACCCAGCGGTCAAGTGGTTAGTCGTTACAGACGCCACTTGAATTTCTGGATCAGAGCCCACTTGCCAACCTTGACTGGAGTGAGCGGGCAATGAAAACAAATCTAGAAAATGCACACACCCTTAAGAAATAGCGCCTCAGCAGCGGTAAGGAACCGCAGCTCGCTTTCTAGGGTAGTGATGGGATCCAATTTGCGGTATGCGTCCAGCGAATGAGTCGGATCGTCCGAATACAAGATCGAGCGCAGGAGAGCAGAGACATACGTCTCCTGCCACATATCCGGAGTCGCCTCATGTCTGTACTTTTTGTCAAAAAAGGCGGATTTCTGGGCTCAAGAAACGCACCTCTCCCCTCGCAAATCCACAACATACGCATTCACTCCTCCAGGAATCTTGACATCCACCCGAAAGTCGACGCGCGAAAATGCGTTGAAGCAGCAATAGCACCCATTGCGCACTTTCCACACAGGGGTCTTTGAGAACCACGCGTTCGAGTCCTCGATCGCGTAGGTGAGTGAGTTGATGTACGCGGCGAGGGAGGCAGAGGATGATGCGTCGACACCAGATACGTAGTGGTACGAGCCGAGATCGCGCTGGCCGGCTTTACCGGTGCTCTTCACAACATGGCAGAGATCCGGTGGGCCGAGCTCCCTAAATGTCGCTGGGCGGGATCAGCGTCGGTAGACCCACAAACGCGACGGGGGAGCTCACATAGACTCTCAGTGCGAGCGATGAGCGATTCACCGAGGTCCACCTAGACATCGTCATTATACGAATCCAGGGAAAAATTCAGTCGCCACACACCTCAAAAAGTTCGGGAATGTCTTTGAATGTAGCAGTCGCTTCAGCCATTAACTAGACCTTCAAAACCACACCGTCAATCGCCGTACAAGATTCAAAAGGCAGCGCGTACTGTAAACTGGCAAGAACAATAAGCGACAGTGGGACGAGACCAAAATGCCACACACCAGAATATCGTTGCTTGACGTGTAGTAGGTATCTGTAAAGCGTCCGATGAGCCATTGCCGTCCAATACACCGAAACAACGGAAGGGGCGGGCGGGAGTCGTCGGACACGTTTTGGCGTTATTGACCCATTGCGTGTCCGCCAGCGCCGATAGGACGCTGCGTGGCGTCGCCCGATAGCCCAGAGAGGACGGTGGAGATGGTGTGGGCGTTGCGCCGAAGCAAGAGAAGCAGGCGCAGAATCTGGCAGATGCACGCACCTTATATTGAAAGCCCACCACCGAGTCCTAATCCAAACGTAGTTTCCCGCGACTCCTTTCAGGATGCTTGAGTATAAGAAACGCGAGTGGCCAGCAGAAAGAGGGTGCAAGCACGGGAAGAGGAAGAGTAGAGCAACAAACAGAGCTGTGGCGGGTGTTGATGCGAGATGGCGATGGCAGGCTTATTCCGCTACAACATTCGAATTCTATGCGATACATTTACAACACTGGTAGAAGAAGTCCGATATACAATTAATTCATCTCCTTCTACTCTATAGCGTCAGTATCACGGCAGTCTAGAACAACCACGGCCCAACAGCCACTGCACAAGGTCAGCAAAGCCACAGTCCTCGCAAAACGAAACAGACTCACTGCTTTTTGAGGTCGCAAACGAATCCGGGAGCTGCAAACAGCTTTGGTGGATCAAATTCAGCGCCTTGACGGCGTCTTGCCCCTCGATAACACATGAAATGTTGATCTCGCTCGCGCCCTGCGAGATCATCTCGATGTTGACCTTGCCCTGAGCAAGCGTCGTGAACATCCGCCCTGCAATGCCGATCATATTGTGCATGTGCTTCCCGACGAGCGAGAGGATCGCCATG